GGAGTCTCAGCAGGTTGTCAGCACAAGATCAGAGCCGTGTCGAGTGAAGGTAGTCAAAGTTCTAAAGTGTACGCCTTAGTCCTCGATGGAGATGAATAGATAGAAATGCATTAGTCCACCTTTCATTGTGGCTAACGGAGGCTTCGTCGCAACGCGTAAAGGTTTTCCGGGGCTCAAACAAAGCATTGAAATTAGATGATAGTATTTAGACCATGGAAGATTCAGAAGTTTTACGTTCCATCGATGTTCACTGTATTATCATAGGTGTCCGCCGTTGAGGATGGTAAGCTGTGGAAAGGAATGGAACACACGTCCCGGAACTTGGTAATGATGTGGTAAGACCTTCCTGGAGCAGCCGAATCATCAAGTCGGCATGTTCTTGTTCAAGAACATATATTGTCGACCCGAAAAGATTTTGAAGAGAATAACATTAAAAGAGGACACTAAAACGGCGGATTGGAAGTTACCCGAAGTGGAATTGTGGTGGCGGTGCTGATCAGGCTTTCCGGTCCGCCTGATTCCATTCCTCCCTTCAAAGGTCATCAATCTCGAACATTGGATTCCAACTGGCGGTTCGCAATCACTTGTATATCTTGTGAAACAAGAACTCTTATCATCTATAGGATGACGAGAGGAAGGCAAGGATGAGGAGGTATAGTATCACGACGTTCCAGTTATTTTCTGTTCTGTTTTAATTTGAATACTACAGGCCCTCCTTCGTGAATGGCTTCGCATTTTTAGGCCTTAAATTTCTGTCAACGTCCAGCCACAACGGCATTAAATGTGTCCGCACCGTCATATTTGGACGTAAACCTGCACGTTGCAGCTTGTATGAAACGACGAGTCTTCTAATGTTCCTTGGAATTCGATTCCCTTCCACGGCTCTCGGACGACAAGGATCCTATCACCACAATTGCTATTGAAAAGGTACGCTTATTCACTTGGAACATAGCTTCCTCTCATCAGAAAAGCTATATACCCTTGAGGTCCTGCGTGTTGCGTTACATAATTGCCCTGCCTTCTTCCATTATGGCAAGAGACGAAAATAGCCGATGGGAGCTTTCATAGTCGACTAGGTTATTCAGCTAATCCTACCCAATGACCTCACAATAGCCAACAGATAGAAGATGTGCCGGTCTTAGTATTCCGGACATGGCAAACAAGGTAAAGTTCTCTGTGAAAGTTAGGGTGTGAGCTCATTAAGCCATCACAGTTCCCGCGTCTTTCAAGGGCTTCTAGCTGTATCAATATGTGGTTTCGTCGCAGGGTCCCATATCATCTACAGCTTTGGAAGACGAATCGGAAAATGCACCGGTTTCACCACAAACTTATTTCTAACAGCATCGGCCTGTGTTAAACAGAAGACATCGAAATAAGTCCCATCCTTAAGCCATGTCTACCACTTCAACCTCCAAGAAACGCAGTCTTTGGCTGACTCAACAAGCAAGGAGGTATCAGAGCAGATGGAACCTGAAGTTTTGGAATCAACGAAACCATTTCGACATGCGTCGCTCTCAGGCTGTTTCGCCGACCGAGGATGACGCGGATTCTAGTCTCGAGTTATCTTTCCCAGCGAGACCATCCCCTTCCTCGTCACTGACGGCAATCGACTCGCAGGATCACCACCGTCCCCATCGATCAATCACACAATCAACCTCCAACCTTGCTGCACCATCCCGTGATGAGATAGACACTCCTGATAAAGACCATGTGTCAGCCTCGAGTTGTTCACATGTCGCTAGAAGTATATCAGAGGTTGTCGAACGAGAGGTTACCACAGTTGCTAGTTCACTGAACCCCGCGCCTGCTTCGACAGTAGCCATCAAACAGGATATCCCTCGACATTCGACCTCCAGTCTCGATGATCCTTCCCCTGGTGTTGGAAACAATGGTCCAGACTTTGCGAGTAATATCCCACATATCGTCGTCTCAGGGGACACATCGCCAAGAGCTGCAGAGCCATTGCTGTCTACGACTGGTGTCCTGCATAGCTCTCAAATTCCATCGAGTTTACCGACACTGGAACCCGCAACCGCCGGTCAAGTTGCGCAGTCTAGCGAATCGATGGTCCTACCGCAAAGCGATACCCTCGCGCATACATACGACTGGTCCAAGGACGAGAAAGAGTTTGAAGAATATCTACCATCTGAAATAGCACACTACAGCAGGAAGACACACATGTCGGAGCCCTCGTTTTTCTCGGCTTAATGATGATTAACATCAGTGTTTAGAGACGAATGGACCCCAGCCAAATTCACAGTGCCTGCTATGCAGACTGAATTCAACACAATTAAGCGCACCTCGTCTCAGACGTACGTATATCCTCTCGCAAGCCCATCAGAATTTTGACTCACTGTTGTACTAGGGAAGAGGACGAGGTTTTGCCTGCGGGTTGGACGAAGCATACGCATTCAGATGGTAAACCGTATTTTTATCATGATCACGATGTGCGTGTTTCTGGTTCGATTGTGGAATTGTCTCTGATAATTCGTATAGAAAATAATCACTGAGGAGTGGTTGTATGATGGAACCATTGCCGAAAAGGTATCCAGATACATCAGCATACTCGAAGATGCCATTTCGAAAAGGTCCGAATCGTTTGGTCGCGTCAAGTCCTGGCATCTCTACTTAGAAATCGCAGAATACGACGAGCCTTCGTGGGAAGGTGATAATTGCTATCGATGCAGATATTACTTTGTCAACCACGATGCGGAGTGCATCTTCTGGCTGTCCCAGTGCCGACTGGATGATTATCTGTGGGAGCTCAGGGGAGACATGAGCCCGGATTTGATTCGCAGTAAGTAGTTAGCTTGAACAATTCGCGTCGCGAGGCTTACTTACTTCGTAAGGATTCCTACAAAGACAATACTGGTAATTTTCTTCGCATCATTTGGTGATTATTGATAGTAATATTTCCCAGGAACCATCATTATTTTTTCAGCGACACTCACCGACTTGGGGAAACGCAGTGGAATTCAGTCCAAAAGTTCATCTTGCTGGCTGAAACAGGTCAGTTTTTTCTCTTCATACCTTGTCGTGGAATGTGAAGCTTAACTCTTCTTTTCCGCAGATGTAAACATGTCTGAAACTTCAACCGTGACCTGGAGCATTGATAAACTGAAGAACATGAGCAAAAGTATTATCAAAGCAGAAAGTAAGACATCGCACTTTATTCACAACGTTGCCATCGACGGAGCCCCCATCTCAGAATTGGATGCTTCCGAAGTGGCAGGCAAGCCTGATCTATCATATGTGCCAGCTCTTTTCGCTGAAGTAACCTTCAGCGTCGTACATGATGGCACTGTGTGAGTATTACATCTTTCTCTGTTGCTTAACACCAACCCATTTAACGACCAGTACATGACCAAATTCTCAACTATCACGGTCAACGGGATGTACGAACTAATCGGGATGAATCTGTTTACGGGTACGATTATGGCAAGGAGCAGCGCACCGTTACGTTCAGAACAATGAACCTCTTGCTATTCTATGCGCCGATCAAACATTATATTTCTCTGAATAAGGTCTGGGTGGATAGACTTATTTCAAGGGGGCCGTGGCAACACCTCATAGAGCAGATTACGGATAAATGGCAACAGCACGTCGGACTGGTACGTATGACTCTTTGATATCCTTTAAAGGGGAGTCGTATAAATGACACAACTAGGCCACAATCCTTCTAGCGGTTAACATGGCTTTTCTCGCTATACCTTTGGTCGACGACATGGGTCTGCAGCACCATTTTGTGACACAGATTCTATGCTATTTGTCTGTCGCCAGTAGCATGGGGACCATCATCATCGGTCTTTTACTTGTGAGCCACCATAATGCCATGAAGCATGTCGGTGTTGACGTTGTGGTGCGCTTGGTCTCTCTGCCCTGGGCTCGGACGGCGATCTCATTGTCTGACAGACGTCCTTTCTCGAGCGGCATTGGCAGAAGAATCTAGGGTTCGAACGATTGTCGATCATGTACAGTACCCCTTACGCACTCCTGATGTGGGGGTAAGTCTACGATTTCTGAATTTCATCCTCTAAGCTCACCTAGGAGATTAGCATGGTATCTTTTATGGCATCATTCTTTTCGATGTGCTTGGGATCTTCCAACCCCGTTTCGCTTAAGGTTTTCGTAACATTAGCGTCCCTTTTGGGAACTGCGCTTTGTCTGTGGTGCATTTACCTGTTCTGGGAAGGAAGCGATCAATGGATCCAACGATGCTTCGAGTTGCGGCAAGGATCTCTTTCCGGTTTAAAGGAGACGCTGCGTTCAATACTGTCGTATAATAATATCTGCCGATTTCGAGATAAAATTCGAAGGGCGGCCTTTCGAACGACGGAAAATATCTTACCTACGACAGCTAACGGAGTAGCATGAGCTGACGATGAAATAAAATGGGGTCAGAAGTTTTTCATGTCTTTCTTTTGTACTTGTACCTGTGTATGTGTGCCTTTGTACGCTCCATGTCAGATTTGAGGAGGGAGGTTTTATTAGTATGCTGTTTTTTTTACTGACCGGCGGGCAGCTCTCACACAACTCGTTGCGGCATTCGCGTTAACGGTTGTCCCCGTTTTTAAATCGTGCAAGGGCGTCGACGACGTCTTGATTTCTTGTGGACAAAATCCACTGAAAAACTACCGCGCTTCAGTGGTTGAATGCGGGCTGAGTGATAGATAGCTTGAGCTGGCCGGGTAAGATCTTCATTGCGGACAATCTATTGCTTCCTGTCAAGGAGGTCGGCGGTCGCCTTTGCGTATGCTGACACGTTCGTCGCTCCGGTTCGCGTACGTACTTCACTTGGCCTCCACGCAGCCTTGTTATTAGAGGGAAGGAAATTTTATTATCCGATGGTGTTCCTCAAGGATTCCTTACCTGGAATGATTGTATCATCGTTGTACGCATATCACGCGATACGTATGCCTGTATTCGCACTGTGAATAGTACATAGCATGACTTGAACACATTTCCAAATTCCAACAGAAAAAAGTCTTTTTTCAACTTGACTCTCTGGCTGGGAGTCGAACCCAGCTTTCGCGCGGTACAGACGTGACAGGCGCGTGTACTAACCGATATACTACCAGAGATACATGAAGTTCCAGTAACAATGCTATAAGAGAGCATTGTAACAGACAATGGGTATTCCACTCGAAGCTGTGATGCCTCGCACATTGGGGAAAGTGAGCCTAACAACGATGGCAGTAATAATAGTTTGAAACACGAATGTGCGGTAGATTTTAGCATTGTGTCCTACAGGCCGCCTCTAAATTTAGTCGCGAGCTTATGCCCATTGTTGGGATTTGAGAGTTGAGCCGAGATGATGGCAATCCGGCATCATGCCGAACTTGCTGATTAAGAAAGAAATATTAGGAAACTTGTAGAACATTCTAGTATATTAGCATTTAGTATATAAGTAGGTACAGTAGTGTACATCTGCATGCGTTTGCAGAGCTCAGCCAAGCGCAATACTATTGGCCTGACACCGCGCATGTACTAACTGGGAACGAACTGATCTATTCATCCCCCGTTTTTCACAACACCCATTCACAAGCTCGAGTAGCTTCGCCATTGCTCAGCTCAGGAGATGTGATAGGCCCTAAAAGGGAGACCAGTGTTACCAACGATGTGCGCCAACTGGTATAGTCGCATAACTTTATTGGGAGGAGCCACTCTCTGGGGGGCGTCAACATCAGGTAACGTACGACCATTAGAATTCGAAGAATTCGAATCTTCTACAGGGGGAGAACGGCGCCGGCATTAAACCATACTCAATCTGTATGTCTTCCGGAAGCTTGATATCCTCCACGCTCGGCAGGCTTTCTTGTGACCGGAAGAGCCCCATAGCGCATCATTTGATACTCCCGAACGATACTGGAAAGATATATAGATTAGCATTTGAGAACCGAAGCATACAAGGGCGACATCGCTTACTCTCGAAACATGTCGTAGTCATCGTACAACTTTGACGATTCCGAAATCTCTTTGACGGTCGAAAGATCCGGATTGATACGTAGAATCGGCATGAACGTGTCGTCTTCCTCAGGTTCGTCAGAACTAGGAACATTAGTGATGGAGATCTTTGAGAAGTAGAGTCCGAGGGTCATCGGCCTCATCGTTCTTGTCTTCTTCCCGAATGGACTGTTCTTCGCTGTCAAGAATCCAGTAAGTACATCGTAACAGGTTGGATGGTGGCATTTGCTCCACGGCAACGACTTTGAGAGCCGCAGAGGCTTTCTGGCCCTGGGATGCGCAGTTTCTAGGAGGATAGGAATGCACATGTTATGCAGCAAATAATAAGGATCTTTGCGGTAAGACGTAGTCGGTCCATGCCGGATTGGTCGAATGTTGATGAAATAAAATCTGCGATCTGGATGGATTCCATCGTCAATATAAGAGAGCGCGACCTTTCAGTTGGCGACACTATAAGCCGTAGAAGTATAACTTATCTCTAAGCAGTATCCAACGTACATCATATTATACCTTGCATACCAGAAAGTCTCTTCATCACATCTTCATTCTCTCTGTCACAGCACAACTCTAGAGTTGCTGCTACGTTGATTAAAAAAAAGGCGAAATAATAGCGACGAGAAAGGAAGAATTTTTTTTTGACCGGTACTTTGAGAAACGATCGGAGAGAAGCAAAGGAAGGGGCGAGATGAAGACCAGTCATATTAAAATCGGGTACGTTTGTATCGCGTACCCTGGGTGACAACTAGAAAAAAACAAAGAGAACAGCGTGGAAAAATGGATCGGACGTTTAATAATCTTCCGCATTTCAACTCTCGCACCCATTTTCTATATAAACTAGACAGTAGTAATTGGAGCCTACCCTCCTCGCCTAAAGTTTCTGTGACCCTCGCGTACCTTTTGATCACTGCGCTTGCTCGTGGTGCATTTTTTTTTTGTTCTAGGAGGATGGGACAATTCTTGGCTCTCCAGAGAAGACTTCTTTCGGACACAAAAAATTCCTTGCATTTGATATTGCCTCGTGATAATCTACGCCGACTAAGAGACAAAATCTGGAGGGCAGACTCATGAATGGGCCACAGCATTTTACCAACGACTGCCAACGGAGAATCGAACGAAAGGCTGCGGTATTTGTAACTTTCTATGCCATGTTAGAGTGGATATAGATTACCACCTGTACACAAGTGTTTGATTTTCTATACGCTATAAATTGGTTAACTAACGGACAAGAAGAATATATAAAAACGAACCTCGTTATCATACGGAAAACTAGCGATGAAAGCGGACGCGTCCCTCGCTGCAATGATCCGAAATCGTACATTCCGAGCCACGCATGCGTCCCTGATAGGTTGCAAGTTGTCTGTTGAACCGCGATTTTGCAGACGCGACGGCCATACCAAGATGTCATCCAAACGGCTGGAATAGATAAAGGCCACCACCGGAGGCGGTGCCTCTTGCCAAAAACCTTTAAGGCTCAGGCACCGCATAGTGAGAGGTAGGCGGTCAAAGAGGGCAGCGCTGTATGACCCCGAAGTCGCATGCAACGATTCTAGCGCGGGGAGGCGCGCGACAACGTCGTCAAGGAAGGGTTCAGGAATATGCCGTAACGCGTAAACCACAAGATGCCGGAGGAGCGTAAGCTGCGAGAGCGCTTCCTTGAAGTCATGGAGATTGATTTCATCGTCCCGATCAAAGCTATCAAATGCTACGTCCAGTCGGGTGAGAGAGGCGGTGAAGCAGCCTATGGGGAAGCGAAACACAAAGGAACTGGTGCATGAATTGATAGTGAGACGCGTCAATGGGCAAATGGGATCAAAGCCCTCGAGGTCACACTTTGACGAGGAGTAGATTTGGAGCTCTTTGAGAACTGGGGAGGAGCATAAGCGCTGGAGAGTCGAATGGCCGTATCCGTCCGGGCCCTGAATGGTGATATGACGTGCACCCGCCAACGCGGAGAAGTTGTCCATTACATGGGACGGGAACGTTTCTTCAAAACATCCTGGGTAGAAGTAGAATTCGATGGATTGGATGTTCCCCGGGGGAAGAAGCGTGACCCAGTCAAAATTGGCGTCTGCATGCCATTTGAGCCGCAGGCGTCGGATGCATGCTCGAATTACTGGGCTAGTGGACAAGGTTTCTTCGAGTCTGGGGGAGGGATAGGTGAAAGTCAGGTATCGGTAGAGACGTCGACGGGAGGCGAAGGTCCATGCATAGCAGACTCGCGCTGCGGACGCGGCCGACTCGTCGTCTAGGCAATGAATGACGTGTTCCCAGACTTCTTGCGGGCACCGTTGGGGAGCAGGTATGTGAGTGCCTATTTCACAAGTCAGCATAGGGTATATAAAGCATTAATAGCGTACAACTGGATAACATCGTAACAAAGTGGGTGTTCAACAATGAGCATAGGGCGACCATCATAAGGGGTTATCCTGACAACAAAATTAGTCATATAATCGTTTGTCAAGATCTCCAATAATCTGTCATGAGGCTCCCAGCGGAAGACGGCTGTCCGAGCCTTGTGCGGTCCAGAGAAGTGCAGATAACGGCCATGGTCGAGCAGGGAAGAGATCTTTATAGGTGGACATGTAGCAAATGGGATCAGAAGCACGGACGGTATATGGTTGAGTGTTAAAAACAGCAGCAAGAAGTTGCCACGGAAGTGTTTAAATGAGGGAACTGCATGGTTGGCGGTGATGCGATTCGGAAAAGAACGCAGAGTGAGAGCATGCGACATGATGATAAGATGAGGCAAATGCCAACGGGCCATTACTTTCAATTATCGCGGTACAAAGCTGTGAAAGGGCTAAACGTTGGCCACATCCGTGCACATTCCATCCTCAGAAGCAGCATTTTTAACTATATATCACCATTAAAATATTAAGGCCTTGAGGTCCAGATATCTCGACCCGGGCTTACGATATCTGAGCACTGTCATCAGTACAGAGAATTTAGCCGAAAGAACATCTCTCGGAGGCCGTTATTCACCAGTAGCATGAGGAATGGACAAAACAAGACCATCGTTGCCAGATCTGGCGTGGTTATTCGATTAGACGTGAAGGCCTTTGGGCCGGGGAACGGATTCATATCGTGCGTCGGGGCGTCCACCTAATATTGAGTGGAAATCATAAACTTTGAACGTCATTCAAGGTCAATTTTTACCCTGCTGGACATGTAATCTTAGCAATGAGAAAGATAAACGGTCAAAGAGAGTCCGTATTGTACAAGATCAACAGGATTAGCGATACAAAATAATGTATATATGACAAAACGAGAGTGAGAAGGTCTTGCGCGTCTGTCCTGCAGACCGAATCATAACTTGCTAGAGATCTTGCGCCACTTCACCACCTCGACGAAATTCGCGAACGCCCGCCGGAAGAGCGACTTGACTGCCCATTTCCCTTAAAGCAAAATTCAACGGAGGCTCCAGTTTGAACGTATAGATGCTCACCTTTTCGACCAGGCTCCGACACTTGAGGAGACTCTTCTGATGACGTTTCAAGTTCGTGCGAGTATGGAGAATCAGAGCCCAGCTCATCCGTAGAAGTTCCAGATGCCGCTGACAATAGACTATACACCATGGAAAAGTTATCGGGGAGAGGTTCATCCTCAATCGTTGAACTCTCTGCGGTCTCGTAAACGACCGGCCCGTATCGCTCAAGTTGATACTCCTCTACAATTCTAGATGCATCGTTTCAGAAGAATGACAGACAGCAATTACAGAAGGTCGCCTACTGTTCAAAAAGATCATGGTCTTCCCATAGCTGCGAAGGATCAGATATTTCCGGCACATTTGATAGGACGTGGTCGATACGAAGGACAGGTATGAAGATATCATCTTCCGGCTCCTCTAAGCCTGGTATGTTGGCGAGGAATGTCCGGCAAGTTTGACTATCAGTTTCCGACACGTCGTCTGTATCTGGAGCAGTTTCCTCGCCGTCGAGAATTCGGAGAATCTGGTCCTCGTCTAGTCCAGACCGGAGGAGTCGGTGATAGAGCCCATCCTCCTCCAAAGCTTTGACGAGCGGAGGGGGGTAGCGCCCCACACGTGGCGACTGAGAATAGTCGCGCCATTCCGTTGGGGCACGACCGTAGAAGTCATAACAGGTAGGGTGGTAGCAGT